AATGTCAATTAAGGCATCAAAAACAGACCTTGCCATCTCTGTACTTCCACATTTCCCATACATGTTCACGAGAGCAGCACCGGCATATACGTCTCTACCCAATCCAAATTTTGTCACCATGGCATGGATTTGTTTTCCTTCATCAATCATAGCAAGGTTTGAGCATGCCTGGAGAGCACTAGACAACGTGAAAGAATTCGGAACTATTGACTTGCAGATCATTTTTCTGAACTTTGTCAAAGCTAATTCTTCTCTGCCGTTTCGTACAAGTCCCACAATAAGAGACGTCCAAGTTATGTGGTTTGGATTTGGAAATCTTTTGAAAATCCTCAGAGAATCATCAATCAACCCACACCTAGCATACATAGTTAGGAGTGAAGTCTGTGAAGCCACAGCGGGTTCATAACCAGACTTGATAACAAGACCATGGACCAATTTACCATTAGTTAAATCCTCTAAATTCCCACAAGTGATCAAGATACTAGCAAAAGTATACTCATTAGCCTTAATTCCTTGGTTAATCATGTTCCCAAAAACCTCTAGAGCTTCACCATCATCTCCTTGCTGAGAGTAACCAACAATTAACGCCGTAAACAAAACAACATCCTTGTCCACAACACGGTTTGACACCAGCCGGGCATCCTTCATTCTACCAAACTTAGCATACATATCAACAAGGGCACTACTAACAAACACATTTGAAACTTCTAGACCCAAAACAACTGACAACCCATGAGCTCTCCGCCCTTCATTTATAAGTCCCAGGTTAGAAAAAGCCTTGAAAACACACGAAAATGTGTATTCATCGGGGTACACTCCATCTAAGACCATCCTCTCATACAACCCAATTCCTTCCTTGCTCTTTTTATGGCTAATATAAGAAGAGATCATTGAATTCCACATGACTATATGCCTGTTAGGCAACTCATCAAACAGTTTGCGGGCATAGCTAATGCTACCACACTTTAAACTCGCATCAATAAGCTTATTGCCTATATGGAGGTGTATATAACCGGATTTGATCATATGGGTTTGAACAATTCCCACGTCTAGTAACGACCTTGTGTGTAGACATTGTTGAATTAGAGAAGAATAAAACTGAGAGGCCTCTGTGAGTCTTGTGTTCTTGAAGGCGGCGTCAAAGCAGCTTTGAGCAGTAGATGTCAAGTACTTGAGGTGGTTAAGTTGGCTTCGCCTGGGTACAGTCATTTCATAGTTTATGAGCAAATTCGAAAGCTTGGCAGCCAACGGCCTGGTCTCTTCCCAATTATTTTTTTAACGGTTGGTTACTAAAAGGTCGGAAAAATTAATTATGCCTATTGTCTGTTTGATAGAATGCTCATTTGACGAATGTGTTAACGAACTTATTACAAGCGGTAGTCTAAATTAAAGGAAATGACAAATGAGACTTCTCACATATATTTTTTCATCAAATTATGATATCGTGGGACATCTGATAGCAAGTTAAGGCCATATTCCATTTGACTAAACTCTTATTAAGAAGTTTTTGACACAGACATGACATTGTTAACACGAATTACTGCAAAATCAGTAAAACAATTAAAAGCACACTTTGAGTTTGCCAAGGTTGGGCTGCGACAAAATGGTCTGATTAGATGCATTGGCATGAGACTGAATAGTAAAAAAGGAGGCCCATGGTTGGGGACCTTTACATAATTCCTTCCCAATCAAAGTCCTTATCCTCATGGCGGATGGGC